TTAATTATCATACATAATTTTAACCAATTATATTCTAATACATATCTCATGTAACTACTCATCTACCCACTAATTGACTCATTTCATTTTTTTTTAAAATCAATCACTAATTTAAAAAATTTTAAAATATAATGCTACCACCAAAGTTTCTAATTTTTTATTTAACTTTTCAAATAATGTAATGACAATAAAAAAAAAAAAGGAAAGGGACGAAGATTGAGAATAGAATGGGATGGGATGTGCATAAATTTTGTTCGTTGCATAGTGATACTGCTAGTATATATATACTCAAAAAAGAATTGGATTTTTTTTAAAAAATATTGATCACATTATTTTAGTTTAAGTTTTAAAAGACCCAAAAAAATGACACGTAAAAACTCCCCTACTTCTCTTTTTTTCCAACTCCTTATTCTTCACTATCTTAAAACACAACACATTAGAATATTTTCAACTTTTACTCAAATTTTGATTTAAATTTAAATTTAGATAAAAAAACATACTAAAAACAATTTTCAATTCTTTATTTAAACTCATATATACTACTAATAAAAGAACCTCAAGTGAAAAACTTTTGATTCACTATTTTACCATTATAAAGAATTTTAAATACCACATTATCTTTTTATAGTTAAATATTTAAATTACAATCACAACCTTATGTATTTAAATCTTTAAATTACCCTTTAACATCTCTTTTAATTCTTTATTATCTTTGTATGAATATCAATATCTATGAAAAAATTTAATTGACTACACACCCCTTAAAATATATATATATATATATATATATATCATTATAGTTTTCAATAACATGATCAAAAAGTCTATCAATAGATCATTACTCTTTTCAAATAAAAAAAAACATTATGTGTATATATTTATATGTGTGTGTGTGTGTGTGTTTTTCATCTATACTACTAATAATTTATATTATTCACTATTTTACCTTTATAAAGAATTTTAAATGTCATATTATCTTTTCATACTTAAATATTTAAATTACAATCACAACCTTATGTATTTAAATCTTTAAATTACCCTCTAATATCTCTTTTAATTCTCTATTATGTTTGTATAAATATCAATATCTATGAAAAAAAATTAATTAACTATGCAACCCTTAACAAAATATATGCATCATTATAGTCTTCAATAACGTGTTTAAAAAGTCTATCAATAGATTATTATTTTTTTCAAATAAAAAAAGAACATTATGTCTATATATATATATATATACTACTAATAATTTATATTATTAATAATAGTACCTTAGATGAAAAACTTTTAATTCACTATTTTACTTGTATAATGAATTTTAAATACCACATTATTCTTCCGTAGTTGAATATCTAAATTATCATCATATATATACTTATGTTTTAAATCTCCAAATACCCTTAATATCACCTTTAATTATCTACTCACTACATATAAGTATTAGTACCTATGAATTTTTTTAATTGACTATGTTACCCTTAAAAAATATATACATACTACAGTTTTCAATAAAATGTTCAAAAAATATTTAAAAACTTCATCAATCTAACATTACTCATTTCAAATATGAAGATAACATTATATTTATATATGTGTATTTTTATTATCCAAAATTTCAATCATTGCATTTATAAGATAAAAAATAATATTTTATGTAGTTTTTTAAAAATAATTTATGTTAAATCAACATAAATTTTCAATTAGAATATAATTTTTCATGTTTTATTAACAGTTTATATAAAAAAATTATACTGTATTTTTAAGTAAAAATTGAATTCTAGAATTTTAATATTTTTTTAAATTATAATAGGGTAGTATATTATATTTTAGGGTTAATAACACTTTAAGTCCTTGAAATATACATGTTTAATCAGTTTAGTCCTCATTATACCAATTTTATCAGTTTGATCTCTAAAGTATTTAATTAGTGTTTAAATGATCTATATATACAGACAATTTGTTAAGTTTTTGGTCATGTGATACTATTTGACAAAATGAAATGTGGTTATTTTTGTTAAAAAAAAAAACTTTAATGGATTATTTGGTTATGGACCATTTAAACAAGAATTGAATATTTTATAGACCAAATTAATAAAATTCATATATTGAGGACAAAATTCATAAAAAAAAACACGTACTTTAGAGACCCAAAATGTTATTAACCCTATATTTTATCCTATTGACCTATTTCATTCCTAAAAACACATACTTTATCTTTTTTCTTATAGTTAAAACAAGAACAGACAATATTTTTCAAATTTTTTCAAATTACCTTTATTCAAAAGTGTTCACCTAACTTTCTACCTGACTTTCTACCAAATTAATCGGGTAGGAGTACCACACTTAATCGAATATGGTAAACAAAAAAAAAAAAAATTCTTCCGCAAAATAAAGTCGTATAGGAATACCACATTTGATCGGGTAAAATAGACTAAGAAAAAATTCTTTCGCAAAATATCGGATGAAAAGACGAAAATCTATATTTCCTATTCGTAGGGTAAGGTGAACACCCCAACTTAAATCAAGAGACCTAAATCTTTAATGATCAAATTTTACTCTATTAAAAATCATATTTTACTCTCCTTTAAATTGAGATTTATCCTTCTTTAAATTTGAACTCCTCCATTGCAATATTGTATCCAATAAAAAATCTTGCTCAAATTTAAGTAAAAAATGAAGTTAAGGTTTAAAATCAACTTACACATTTCATGTATATTAGTTATACGCTTCTTCGTGTTTGCCTTTTTTTTTTTTTTTTTTAAATCAGGTCCTTTTTTTTTGATTCAACAACAGATTCCTTATACAGATACATGTGCCTATAAAAAAGATACTCCAAAGGCTAGAGTATTTCGATCAAATTATACACACCTCGATTAATCTCTTTCTTAATTCAATCAAAAACAAGTCATTCATATAAAAATTAAAATATTCATTAGGCATAAATCTCTCTTAATCTCGTCACAAATAATTACCTTAGACATTTATTTTATATTAATTTCATGCGATTTCATTCTAATATTTAAAAAAGAAAATTCTAGAGTGCAAACTTAAATGCGCTTGCATGCTTTCTTTTGAATTCGAAATCTTAAATACCGCACAATTTTTTTATGTTACAATTGCAATTTTATCAATCATCTGACAAAAAAAAAAATTAATGTTATACAATTTAAATAAAATTCAAAAATTACAATTCAAATGCATAATATCGCTTAAGAATTAAATAAATATACATTTAAATTACAATTTTTTTGATTTCATTCTATTTATGTAACATTACTAAAAATAAAACCATTTATCAAATCTTTTTTCCTCTCCCTTTAAAACACAAAATTAATAATTTAGAAATTCAAAAAAATAATGTTATTACCGACTACTTTTAAAACAACTTTTGTTTTCTCCACAACATATAATATCACCAATGACATGCAATATCATTAATAACATATCATATCACCAATGACGTGTTTCACCTTTGTAATGAATATTTTCTCCACAAATTAGAAGGGCATTTTTGCTTTTACTTGTGCTTTTTATTTTCAGTATTAAAATTTAAGCACCACATGATTCCAGTATTAAAATTCAAATTTCAATTAGTTTACCGTATTTACACTTTCTAGTTTTTAGTTCTTATAATTTCCACATATTAGAAATTTTGAAAAACCCGTGCAATAAAATTTTGAGTAAATAGACCAAAATTATTTTGGTGTCAGAAACTAATTCCCATTAATTCAGGAAAAAAAAAATTGAGGTGTTCAAATTTTCATTGATCGACTACCCGAAAGATTCGGGTAATCTAACAAAAAATTTTCTAATATTTCACAAAAAATAGAATAAAAATACAGAATTTTTAATTCTGTATTTCTACGCTACTTTACCCGTAGAGTAATAAAATAATAAAATACCATAATTCCTCCGGTAGGATGAACATTCCTAGGCAAAATAATTGATAAAATTAACAAATAATTTTCCAATCTTTCAACTTAACGAGATAAGATTGATTAAAATATCTGTTCATAAAAAAAAAGATTAAAATGTAGCGATTTGTTCGAGGCCGTAATCAAAACTGAAAAGCAGATTTGAAAGGCACGGAGAATCGCAGTAAATTAGATATCGCCAACCTTCAATGCAAGTGATTCGTCATCTTTATCTGACGCACCTGCTCTGCTAGTTGGCTTTTCTTTTCTCAACAATTTGGGAAAAACATAGTAATCACAACAACGCAAAGAAAAAACTATAACCCAAATCGTACAAGCCCTGTGTGAGTTTGCGTGAGTGTGCCAATAGATAGAGCAGCTGAAAGATTTCCGTGTACTCGGCTTAACGAAAAACCCTAACCCTAAAAATGGTACAACGAATAAAAAAGAAAGGGAGGAGCTGCACACTTGAATATGGAAATGGGTGATTGCTTGGGTATATATAGGCAAGCACTTATTCAGAAACCCTAACCCTAATTACACTAGTTGAAATGTCTGGGCTGTTAATGTGAAAATAGCCCAATCACATTAACGCTCTTCCTGGGGCCCACTGCCAACTATCTGGATCGAAGTCCCGGAATAGGTTCTGGGCCGTGCCCAATAATGGCTTTTTCAGTTTTATGGCTTTTTTCAGTTTTTTGCCCAATCATTCCTAACGCTCCTCTGCTCTACAGCCTAAGCCAGTCCGCCGCCTCCAGAGTCCAGCCGTCCAGGCCATCCACAACTCCAGTGAACGAGTGAACGTCTCTCTCCTCTCCTACGCTCAGCGCTCTGTCTCTCTCTTTCCATCATCTCTCTCTCCATCGTCTCTCTCTCTCCACTGTCGGCTGACCAGGTAAGTCGCAGAGCTTTTTTGTGGGTTTGTGCATTTGGGCATTTTTGTGGGTTTGTGCTTTTTCTTGGAATCTGATATGATTTTGTCAAATTTTGATTATAAATTTTACAGCATTTTTACATTTGTAGACATAGATCAATGTAAATCTTGGGTAGGCTGCAAAATCAGTTTGGGCATGTGTACAGGGAGGCTAACTTCATGGCTGATTTTTTCGCTATTGTGGCTTTGCTGCAAGGATCTATGTCCATTAGTAATGCTCTTCATAAAATCGTCTTCGACAGAATCTATGTCCACCAAATCACTCCTACCCGGTTGTAATCTCCAGTAAAGCACAATATTTGGTTCTGCTACATCCACGTCAACAAATTCTGTAGGATTGGGGTCACAAAAGCCTTCTACCTCCTCCAGCTATCCAATAGAAAAATAAAAGCCTCCAAAAGTGTTAAAACAAAATTGATACAGCCTTACAAACCCCACTCGATTCCCTAGATTCAAACATCTATTTGTGAATACAAATTAAGCCCTCCAGAAAACGCAAAAATGCGGCTTCTTCAACGTCTTTTATCCCAAATCTCGCCAAACCCATTGAAAAACCCACCAACTCTTAAGCTTCTTTCTACCTTTTCTCAACCCTTTTCTACAAACTCCAGTAATGGAAAAAACGAAGACGACGGTAATTGGGACAACCCATTGGGTGGTAGCACTGGGAATGGCTCTGCTGACTTGGGATGGGATGTCTCTTCATCGTGGTCAACGGGTTTGACCAAGGAACATTTCGACGGCGAAGTCGTCGGCCACCAAATCAATCCGAGCACACCCGGCACTGGAAACTACACTGCGGGTGATGAGTATTCTCAATTTGGGTCGGCGAGGTGGACTGATACAGAAATGGAGAAATTGAAGGAATTGGAAGCTGAGAACCGGAAGGGCAAGGCGTTTGTGGAAGGGTGGGGAGAGAGGATGAGGGAAGTGAATGTTTTGTTAAAGCAGGTTAGAGAGCCAGGGGCGAGAGGAGCGTATCTGAAGGATTCGGAAAAGGCGGAGATGTATAAGAAGCATAAGGAAAATCCTGAGGTTTATACAGTGGAGAAGTTGGCCAAGGAGTATAGGATCATGAGGCAGAGGGTGCATGCTATTCTGTGGCTAAAGGAGCTGGAGGAGGAGGAGGAGAAGAGGCTTGGACACCCGCTGGATGATTCCGTTGAGCTCCTGTTGGATACTTGCCCCGAGTGAGTTATCGAACTTCCGGCATTGCTTGTGTGTTTTTGAAATTTAATTGAATGTTGATATGTTTTGATTGATCACATAGGTCGAGCATTGTCATGTTACATGTTTAGTTGTATACTATGATTAGGGATGTCAATAAGTCTTTTAGTGTATGATTAGTTTTAATACTTAGACCATCTTCAATGAAAACTCAAACCTTTACCCAAATTTAAGTAAAACAAAAAAAAGTAAAAAACTTGATTTGGTATAGATTTCTCCAATGCAGAAATTCAAATTTAAAAGAAGATAAACTCAAAAATAAATGAGGACAAACCCAAATTTAAAAGAAGATAAAATATAACAATTGGATCATCAAAGGAGATTGTAATCTCACTATTAAATATTAAAGATTTGAGTATGAATTTAAGTCTCCTTGATTTAAGTAAAAAAAAGAGTCTCTCTTGGTTTGATATGAGTCTCCCTTGATTTAGTAGGTTCCTTATCAGCTATGTGACCCCTTTATTTCTTTTTCTTTTCAAAATGAAATCTAAATAAGCATTGTGATAATGTGAAAAAAATTGATAACTACAGCCTTTTCTCCTTAGCTAAATATGCTATTTAAATTAAAATTTTATCTTAAGTATTGTATTTTGGAGAATTACACTATCTGTGGGTTTAATGCTGTTGTTTCAGAAAGTCCAGTGCTAACATTTCTATTTTGAGCCTTTAAGCCATTCCAGAGGTTACGCTAATTGTCATCAAGGTGGGCCAAGATCAGTGATCCCCTATACAGATGCCTTAGATAACTTGTCCTATGAGGGTTTTGATGCTTATTTATGAACTTTTGAAAACTCCAAACGTCTTATAGGTAGGCAGGGTTATTGGAGTTTATCAGAGTGAAATTTGAAATTTGAACCATTGTTCTTTACGGCGCGGCAGAAAGTTTATTGAAATGCTGCTAGCTGCATGATGTTGAGGAATGTAATTAAATCCACAGGTTGGACTCACAAGCTTGTGTGGGAGCCATATCTTATATGTATTAGTCTGTACTTTTGCCGATAGCAATTACCTGCTACTTATATGTTACACATTTTTAAAGATAGGTAATGCACTTGTGGTTAGATAGCTTATTATTCCTTTTCTGATACAGCAGATGTGATTCGGCATTAGAGTTTGGAGAGGTTTAGTCATAGATGCATTGTAGTGGTCTATGGGATGTTCATGTTTCCTGCCAGATTTGTTGTACTTACATACTAGGAGCAGGCTTTCTGCAATTTGCACTGATGCTTTAAGTGCAATGTTTGTTATTCAGACATCATCTTGAAATTAGCCAGTACTGGAACAGATAGGCAGAGTCACCAGAGATGGTGAGAGTATGAGAAAGTACATCAGGAAACTGAGTATGCTTTGAGTCATCATTTTATACTTTGGAAGATGCCATGTCATGAATGCCTCCTAAGGCTCTTTGTTTCCATGAATATACAGTAATCAGTTATAGGTAAAGTTAATGGAAAAAATCTGTCAACAACTTGTAGGCAGCAGCACCTAAACTCTATTTACATCTCACTCATATGCCCATGTCTGTATCTATTTCTTGGTGTTCTCTAGTTCGAGAAGGAATAGTCGAATTTCAGATCCTTTCTTACTATGGTTCTGATTTGTGTTTTATTGCAGGTTCTTTAATTCTCATGACAGGGAATTCCATGTTGCATCTCTTCCTTACAAGCCAGATTTCAAAGTCATGCCAGAGGGTTGGGACGGCACCACGCGGGACCCAGATGAGGTGCATTATGAGATATCAATGAGGGAAGACGAGATGTTATATCAGGATTTTGTCCAAAGGATGAATTTTAACAAAATGAAGGTGAGCTTTATGTGATCCTTAACATGACAAAAAGAGAAAGGAATTGAAAATAGATAAAATGTATATTTTCTTGTTTATCATTATCATTATACAATTGCCATTAAGCTCTATGAAGGAACTACAAATGTGTGCGATCTTAGTTTTTATGCTGCACTTCTGGGCCTGGTACATAGAAACACATAAATTAGCCCAGAACCTCATGCCCTATATATCAAACATATTTTTGTAATCTTTTAAAGGCATAATTTCATACCATTAATCTCCTGCAAACTTAAGATCATGTGGTCTTTCTCTGGTTTGCAGATGGCAAAGAAGGTGAAATGCCATAAATATAGCCGAAGGCGCCCATCTGAAGGGTGGAATTTTATGGTTGAGAAGCTGGGGCCACGTGGGAAGCGTGGAAATGGGGGCGGCTGGAAGTTTATCAGTATGGCAGACGGGTCGAGCCGACCTCTAAACGAAAGGGAAAAAATGTTTGTCAAGAGAGAGACTCCTCGCAGGCGGCGCAAGATTCTCCCCTGAGATCCCATCATCAAGAAGACCTTAGATTTTTGTCAATCCGGTAGACACTTGAATTGATGGTGGAGATTTTGAGACACTATTTGCTTTCTACAGTCTTAAAGTTTTTTTGTGATGTTAAGAATCATTTTTTTAGATTTGCTTTTGATGGTATGATGTACCCATATAAGTAAAAGGTCGAATGCAGAAACTTGAGGCAAAACTCAGGTGTACCTCATTAAATGACTTTAGCAATAACCTTGGCTACTGGATTGTGGTTTAAGATGGCCATGAGGTCGTTGAGTGGATTCAGCCTCAATTTTAAGCTTGACCTACGCTCTTCAGCTTTTGATTGTGGATCCTTCAAGTACGTTTTTACTCTATTTTTCTCCTCGGTAAATTAACTATCCTATAGGGGACCTACTTTATGTATATTGGGTCTAGCATAAGTCTAGGTTAGGTATTTACCAAGAAGGAAACTGGAGATATAATGTGATGATGCACAAAAATAGTTTTGCACATCACCTGTCAAGTGTAGATAATAAATGCAATGAAATCAATGAAAAAATTAAGAAGACACAATCTATAGTGGTTCGGTCAATTTGACTTACGTCCACTCTTCAATGGCTTCAGTTGTCGGGTATTTTATTGATTCAAAGGTATGGAGAATGGAGATACAAGCTTTGAGAAAAAGAATGGAGAATCAAAGAAAATAGTAATCTCCGGTAGTCGGTTCATCCTCCGTAAGTCTCTGGTGGGGCTTGATATCTCTTTTCTACCAGATTTGAGCTATTTTATAGTAGTTAAGAGATCATTCTTGTGGAGATCATGACATATCCTCAAGGTTTCTTTATCGCAGCTAAGAGATTATTCTTGGTGGAGATCACGATTTATCCTCAACGGAAGGAGGAGGTTGGGGAGCTCTTCATGAAACGTGGTCAAAGATTGGACCGTTTCCTTCGGTGGTGCNTGATGATGCACAAAAATGGTTTTGCACACCACCTGTCAAGTGTAGATAATAAATGCAATGAAATCAACGAAAAAATTAAAGAAGACACAATCTATAGTGGTTCGGTCAATTCGACCTACGTCCACTCTTCAATGGCTTCAGTTGCCGGGTATTTTATTGATTCAAAGGTATGGAGAATGGAGATACAAGCTTTGAGAAAAAGAATGGAGAATCAAAGAAAATAGTAATCTCCGGTAGTCGGTTCATCCTCCGTAAGTCTCTGGTGGGGCTTGATATCTCTTTTCTACCAGATTTGAGCTATTTTATAGTAGTTAAGAGATCATTCTTGTGGAGATCATGACATATCCTCAAGGTTTCTTTATCGCAGCTAAGAGATTATTCTTGGTGGAGATCACGATTTATCCTCAACGGAAGGAGGAGGTTGGGGAGCTCTTCATGAAACGTGGTCAAAGATTGGACCGTTTCCTTCGGTGGTGCAGATAAGCTTCCCGTGCTCTCCTCTTGGTGACGTGCTAAGCAAGAAGTCTAACCGGTCTTGGACTGTCTTGGGCTTGGTGGAACCAAAATGAGGTTTGNTGGGCGCTGGCCTTGCTGTCCTGGACAGCCCAGGTGCGCTGGGTAGCAGCCTAGCTACTGCGTCTGCTGTCACGGACAGCTCAGCTGCGCTGGGCAGCTTCAGTTCTGCTGCGCTGGGCGGATTTGGAACGCTGGGCAGCAGCATTTTTCCATCAAGGGGCGCTGAAAATCAGTCCAAGGTTCATCAGGGAGAGCTAGGCAGTGGCCTGGGAGCACGAGCTGATCCGATTCCCACTCGAGGTGCTGATTTGGGCGCCTTAGGTGCTGATTTTTACGCCGAAAATTCTGTTTTGCGCAATTTTGAAGGGCTAGACACCCTTCAAGCTATTGGGCAACTTTGTTTTGACGAGCAACAGCAGTCAGACACACTTCTAGGCATTGGGCTAGACATTGCAAGTAGTAAGGAACCTTTGGGTGCTGCTCTTGATGATCAAGCCCTTCTCCAGGTGCTGGGCGCCTTGGGTGAGCCTGGGGCTGCCTCGGGAGAACCTACTTGTGATGACAAAAAGAATGTTATTCCAAACATTAAAATATCTCACATAATTACCTGGAGAGAGAGAGAAGTAGGCTGCTTGCGCGAGAGCAAAGACAGAGTTGGAGAACTGCTCGTGAGAGAGCTACACTTTTTGAGACCTAGCTTTTGGCGACCCATGAGGGAGTCTTTAAGCTTGAGGTATAAGCTGCCTGTTTGAGAACAGTGCAGAGGCCAAGCTTTTTTGGCGACCCCCAAGAGAGCCGCTAAGCTAGAGATAGACTGCCTGACAGTGTAGAGGCCAAGTTTTTTTTTTTTTTTTTTGGCGACCCGTGAGAGAGCCGTTAAGCTGGAGATAGGCTGCCTGTTTGAGAACAGTGCAGAGGCAAAGTTTTTTGGCGATCCGTGAGAGAACCGCTAAACTGGAGATAGGCTGCCTGTTTGAGAACAGTGCAGAGGCCAAGTTTTTTGGTGACTCGTGAGAGAGCCGCTAAACTGGAGATAGACTGCCTGTTTGAGAACAGTACAGAGGCTAAGTTTTTTGGCGACCCGTGAGAGAGCTGCTAAACTAGAGATAGGCTGCCTGTTTGAGAACAGT